AAAAAGGAGAGAATGAAAGTTAGAAGAAGAGAGAGGAGGAGGGGGGGAGGAGGGGTTCTTTAGCAATTGAGGCAATGCCCTTCTGGCTTATTAGCAAGGTACTACATTTGAATTTCTGTAGCAGGGGCTGGAATGGAAGTTCTAAATCTCGTCGGCAACAATGCAGCCATTGTTGTTTCCCACTTTGGAGTCCAGGCTTCTCTGGGAAGCTCACATATAGTATTTGTTGGATTGACACCAGGACTGCTAGTTGAAATTGCCTTGGCTTGGTCGGAAAAATTGCCATGTTGGTCAGCGCACAGAGATCGCTGTTGATGGCTGCGGCTGCCCGATCTCCCTTCGTGGTGGTGTTGATGGCCCGTGTTGTTGTTACATGTATGACAGTCGAAACTTGAGCTACCGCGACCGGATGCAGGATGGTTGTGTTGATAAAGAGGATGCGTCTAGCAGTAGTGGTAAACAGCGTAGTTGGGCTCACGCCCTTGGTGTTTCCTGTTGTTGTGTTGGTGGCACATGATGCCACCAGTCGTACGGTAACAATGCATCGATCAACAAAGGATCCTCTTCAGTCGATCTTCTCTAGTCAGTCAATTCCATAAATTCAGCATTAAGAACAACGAAAGCTATGCCCTTTTCTCTACTCCACACTGGCCAAATGGTGGCTTCAAGCGGTCGACAATGACAGTGAGGGATCGACAACAACAACCCACAGCAGCAGCCATGGGAGCAATGGGTCCTTGTGGAAGAATTGTGACTTGGGATCCCATGCCGGTACCCACGACCGCGCCGCTTGCAGGATCCATGGTTGCTTTGATACAGAGGATGCGTCTAGGTCTATTATTGGTAGTAGCAGTGATAACAGGGCCAGGGCTGGACGCCATTGTCATGCTATTTGGTGTTACAGAGTTGTGTTGCGTGGAAGGATGTGGTCTCGAGGCAAAGATACTGCATGCACAAATGAACAGTTTCCACGTGGAAGGTGATACCTCTGGTAAGAAACGTCCGAGACACGTCTCTTCTACCTGTCTCTGACTACTGAGACAGGCTGTCTCTGCGTCTCTGAGACGTAGAATTAATACCAGCCATACTTACTATACGGGATGAAAATTCCGTGTTTCGCTTGGCCTCAGGTTCATGGCGTGCAGGTTGAAACCGTCTGATGCGGTCAAAGATCGATTTACCAGCTCGCTGGGTTTTATTAAATAGCTACTCTCAAGTCTGCAGCTCTGCAGCCTCCTCGACTTCCACGGTGTTCCCAGAGAAAAATGAGTCGAGACAGTGAGAAGACCATGCACGCAAGCATGCATACGGCAACGACCATCGCCGACCAAATAACTCGAGCAGAAAGAACAGTTGTGAAGCCGCCCTCGGGAAGGCAACAGACCTCATCGAATTGCGTTTGCTTGGGATTTTCCAAGCTCACAATCTGACCAGAATCAGCAACCACACTGAAATCGAAACAGAAGTAACACTACCGAAGAAAAAGAAAGATGAAGATCAACGCCAATTTCCGTCTGTTTGCCGCCACCAATTTCGATGCTACCAAGTATATTGCGTCCCCTGCATATGGTGTCAACCGCTTCATGTTGGATCGCGTGGGCGAAGAAAAGGCCCGGGCTACCACCATTGTCGAGTATTCACCCAATAGCAAGTTTCCGAAGCACACTCACATTGGAGGGGAAGAATTTCTCGTCCTCAAGGGAACCTTCAAAGACCAACATGGATCTTTTCCCGCTGGGACGTATGTGCGCAATCCCATTGGTTCGGAACATGCACCCTGGGTCGACGGCGATGGATGTACCATTATGGTCAAGTTATTGCAGGTGCGTGACAATACTGACGGAGGTATTCACGTTGTGTCCCTTGCGGGTCAATGTTTTGGGGCAAATCTCACTCCAATTATTTTGGGTTGCCAATGACAGATGTCCGATGAAGACCACCTGAAGCAACCCCTGTATATTGACTTGGAGAAACAAAGGACAGCCTCGGGTAAGCCAGTGGATTATGGAACAGTACTGGATCTGTACGACAATACAAGTACGGGCGAACATGTTGAAATGTGCTGGGTATCCGCGGGCAAGACGCTTCCACCACCATCTACAACGGGTGGAGAAGAGTTGTTTATCATGGAAGGATCCTTGCACTGCAAGGACGAGGAATATGTCCAATGGGGATGGCTGCGATTTCCTCCCAACGACAGCAGCCAGCGTCACGAGGTGAAGGCAGGGCCCAGCGGCGCTCAAGTATACCGCAAGTGTGGTCATTTGACAGAAGATGCTCTCAAGAAGGAAAAGATTCAAATAAAAGAAGAGTAGAGAGAAAATTTCCTGGATATCATAGATAGACAAAGGAATTTGGAGGCTAGCAATATCCAAAGCATAGATGTATTCGTGTGATCTGATTCTTAAGTTTAGTCTCACAGCTGAATGTCATCATGTTGGACATTCACAAGAAATAGACCATGGGCGGGCGCCATGGGCGGTGCCAACGTTCGATCTTTGGCCTCTAATAGCTCTGGAATCGCATCTGGTGGAATTGACCCTCTCCCTACAGCCACCAATGCGCCCACCATGTTTCGTACCTGGCGGTAGACAAAGCTCTTGCCAACCACCTTGACAGTGACTAGTTGCGGTTCTTGTGGTGTATTGTGATTGTTCGTGTCTCCGAATCCCAGCAATCCACCCGAAGCTTCCCAAAAGAGAGGTTCCCCATAGGGTTGTGAGACCACTTGGACATTTTGGATGGTGACAATGGGCGACGCTCGTTGACACCCCGCGGACCGAAAGGAAGAGTAATCGAGTGTTCCGATAAAATGCGGAGCAGCTTCTTGCATGGCATCAATATCCAATACAAATTGCTCACTACTACTGTCTTTTCTCTTTGATGAGAGTGTGCTATTCTTGTCGAGTTGCGATTTTGGCGGAGGCCGTACGATTCTCCAAGATCGATCCCACTCAAAGGGCAGTGCCCAGTCTGCTTGCTCCGATTTTGCCAATGCCAATATTCGATAGATGTAGGTTCGTTGGTTGGCACTGAATCGGACATTCCAATCCACATATTCCGGAATGGTGGGATTGCCAGTCTTGTCCATTGCAAAGTAGTGAAATTTGTTTTTCATTTGGAGAGGCGCCCGAATCATGTTGAGAATTCTCAATTCGTTCATGGGGTAGTGAAAGGACCAACTGTCGGCTTTTCGTTTAGCTCGACGTGCCAGTTTTCGCTGCTCTCGTTTGGTCATTGTGTCCTGTGTGTTGTTGGTTGGCATAAGTTCGGATCCTTGTTGGGAGAGATGGTAGTTTAATCCTCGTCGAAGAACGTCGGGGTCCCAAGTGCTACTAGAAGAAGAACATATTTTTGTAGATGGGGTATCCTTTTCTTCTGTGGCTTGCAACATCTCATCATCATCATCCTCATCATCATTTGTAGTATTATCTCTATTCCTGATATCGACATGACATGTATTCTTGAGTGCATGCACGCCTCGATCTGTCCTGGAACTGACCTTGATGTTTTGAAAGCGTTCCTTGCCGACCATTTGCGTGAACGCATCCCTCAATCGACCTTCCATCGAGCGATACCCTCTGAGATCCGTTCCATCCGGGAGTACGGCATCTTCTTGATCCTTTAGATGGGCGAATCCTAAAAAGGAGGATCCATGATACTGAATCGAAAAGGCATACCTCACAAAGCCTCGCCGGAGAGCCATGGTAGACTATGTATGTACGTAGTCTAACGAAGCAATTGATTGATCGTTTTTGAAGACGATGGAGCAAAGTGATCGAAAACCGTGTGATCGATGATGACGCACAAAGATTCCTGTGAAGCCGGCGAAGCAGATGTGCTTCATCTGGCGCGCCACCTCCCCGAAACCGTTTGGCTCCAATGACACCAACAAACATTTTGGCGCAAACAAACAACGGCAAAGCTTCAGAAATGCATAGAATCATCACCACACAGAGTTTAGATTTAGTTGTCAAGCATAGAGTCAGTCAAATAATTTGTATTGAAGAGAAGGAACCAAGATGCCGCCCCCGAGTGGTTCACGGCGTGTCTTTGGACAGGCCATGGGCAAGTCCAAGCAGCGGTCGAGCTACCAGCGTCAGTTTGGAGGTGGCAATCGCTACAACCAATCTTCTGGTGATAACGCTAGCAACAATAGCAATGACAAAGACAAGGAGGCAGCCAAAATGGCGGCCAGACGGCGCCTGCGGCAACAAAAGGCCGAGCAGATTGACGTCCAGTTTGGATACGAAGCATTTGAATTCCAAAACACAAACGACGCGGAAAGCACAGACAGCAGACAAAAGAGAGGATGGCTCTTTAACATGATACCCACAACGGTAAGAATGTCACTCCAAACCAACATCTACTGGGTAGTTATTTTACTTGCATGATGCGCTCACTATACTTTCCCCATTCCTTTCTTTTGTAATGACCCTACTAGAAAACAGTATCGTCTGGAGATGCCCGTACTGGGGTTGGATCGTCTCCCGAACGGGCTGGACTGGACCTCTTCTTTTGGACTCCCGCCGGAAAGAAATTCAAAACCACCATTCTCTATCGACCCTACTTTTTTGTCATGCCCAACTTTGGACAACTCGAATACTTGGCGGACAATAACGCATTCTCCATGGATACCGCCTTGGAACTATTGGTCACGTCGCTGCTGCGCAAATACGAGGGGATGCTCTACAATGTACAAGTCGTCTACAAGATTGATCTCGACCAACCCAATCACTTGTCACCGTCCAAAAAGCAAGGACGACCCATGCTCAAACTCATGTTTGACAATGTCACACAGCTCATGGATGTACGACAACAGCTACGAGGAATTATTGAAAAGAATAAAACGAGAGATCGAACCTATACCTTTCAAGATACCACAACCAACAACAACAATGCACTCGATGTCGTTCACAAAGATCCATTCTCCTGTCTGGTGGATATACGAGAGTACGATGTCCCCTACGTCGTTCGCGTCTGCACCGATCTGGATATCCGTGTAGGAACTTGGTATACAGTCACTGTCGCATTGGATGAAACGGGCCATGAGGAAAACTATGTTCCACAACAGCAGCAACAACAACAGGACAATCAGGCTTCGTCGCTGATACTCAATGCCAAAGATCTCAAACCCAACACGGGTGGTGTCACCCTCTCCAATCCGGACTGTGAAACCAAAGCCGATCCAACCTTTCTCGCATTTGATATCGAATGTACCAAGGCACCCCTCAAATTTCCATCCTCCGAAGTCGACGAAATATTCATGATCTCCTACATGGTCACCATGCCCAAAGGACCACCCCAGGGATACTTGATTGTATCGCGCAGTGTCGTGTCGGAGGACGTTCACGACTTTGAGTACACGCCCATGCCAAAATATCCCGGGCCCTTTCAGATCTTTAATGAAACCGACGAACGCGCGTTGCTGCGACGATTCTTTGACGAATACAAGCGTCATGCTCCGCAAATTGTTGTCACATATAATGGTGACTTTTTCGATTGGCCCTTTGTCCAAGCCCGCGCAGAGAAATATGGCATGGACATGTTCCACGAGGTGGGAGTGGAACTGCGTGGCGAAGAATATCGCGGCAGATGCTCGGTGCATTTGGATGCCTTTCACTGGGTGCAGCGCGACTCGTACTTGCCTCAGGGAGCGCAGGGATTAAAGGCCGTGACCAAATACAAACTCGGATACGATCCCGTCGAAGTGGATCCGGAAGATATGGTCCGATTTGCCCAAGAACGACCCGTCCACATGGCGTCCTACTCAGTGTCCGATGCTGTGGCCACATATTACTTGTACGAAAAGTACGTTCACTTGTTCATCTTTTCTCTCTGTACCATTATCCCCATGGGACCGGAAGATGTCTTGCGCAAGGGGTCGGGGACGCTATGTGAAACCTTGCTCATGGTACAGGCCTGTCAAAAAGAGATTATCTGCCCCAATAAACAGATTGACCCCTTGGCCAAGTTTCACAATGGACACTTGCTGGAAAGCGAAACCTACATTGGAGGCAAGGTGGAGTGTCTGGAAACGGGAGTCTATCGAAGTGACATTGAATACGACTTTGATTTGAAACCAACAGCGTTTCAGCAACTGATTGACAACATTGACCGGGACCTGAACTTTGCAATTGAAGTGGAATGTGGCATGGAACAGAAGGATGTTGTCAACTATGATCAGGTGAGCGAGTCGACTGATAGCACGCCACTTCTCTCTTGGAAGGATGATCTCCTGGACTCTTCTTACCTGTTTCTCTTTGGCTGGATATCTTCCAGATTCGGAGTCAGATTGTGGAGGAGTTGGAACTGCTCAGAGATAGACCCAAGAGAGTCGAGAAACCTTACGTCTATCACTTGGACGTTGGTGCGATGTACCCCAACATTATTTTGACCAATCGTCTGCAGCCGAGTGCCATGGTCAATGATGCCGACTGTGCGGCGTGTGACTTTAACCAGGCCAAGAATGCATGCAAGCGGCGAATGGAATGGGTCTGGCGCGGGGACTACAACCCCGCAACCAAGTCCGAATACGACAGAACCAAAGACCAGCTTTCCGGGGAACTGCAGGATGGTGTTCAATTCCACCAACTTGAAGACAAGGAACAAGCTTCTCTCGTTTCGACCCGCTTGAAGAGCTATGCTCGCATGGCCTACAAAAAGACCAAGGTAACAGAAGAGGTAACCCGAAACGACGTGGTGTGCCAGCGTGAAAACGACTTTTATGTTGAGACAGTCCGCCGATTCCGAGACAGACGTTACGAACTCAAGAAACTCACGAAGACATGGAAGAAGAAGATTGGAGGCGCCAATGATGCAGCTGCGAGGAAAGAAGCTGAAGATCGAACGCTTGTTTACGACTCCTTGCAAGTGGCCCACAAGTGCATCTTGAACAGTTTCTATGGTAAGTCTGAGCCTCCTCGTATGCAGTGCAGTCAAATCGAGGCTGGCCTCATAGTTGTTGTTGCTGTTTTCCAACGCCTAAAGGCTACGTGATGCGCAAGGGAGCAAGGTGGCGTTCCATGGAGATGGCTGGCATCGTGACCAAGACAGGTGCAGATCTCATCACCCAGGCCCGAATCTTGGTCGAACAGATCGGTCGCCCTTTGGAGCTGGACACAGACGGTATCTGGTGCATCCTGCCAAAGAGCTTTCCTGATGTATACACTTTCAAGCTCAAGGATGGCTCCAAAATCAAACTAGAGTATCCATGTGTCATGCTCAACGCTGATGTCCATGCCAACTTTACAAATCACCAGTACCAAACCATCAAAGATGCCGATAGAGGTACATACGAGACAAAGAACGAATGCTCCATTTTCTTTGAAGTAGATGGCCCCTACCGTTGCATGGTCCTCCCAGCTAGCACTGAAGAGGGAAAGCTCTTGAAGAAGCGATACGCCGTATTCAACTTTGATGGTTCCTTGGCAGAACTGAAAGGCTTTGAATTGAAACGCAGGGGAGAGCTGGAGCTGATCAAGACGTTCCAGTCCCAAGTCTTTGAACGATTCCTGGATGGTGGTTCGCTGGAAGAGTGCTACGCAAGTGTTGCCGACATCGCCAACCACTGGATTGACGTGATTGATACGCAAGGGGAGAGTCTAGACAATGAGGAAGTCATTGACTTGATCAGTGAGAATAGGAGCATGAGTCGTCAGCTCGAAGATTATGGTGATCAGAAAGGAACCTCGCAAACCACAGCACGCCGCCTTGGGGAGTTTTTGGGCTCCGAAACTATCAAGGACAAAGGTCTGAACTGCAAGTTCATCATCGCCGAGCAACCCTACGGAGCTCCGGTCACAGAGCGTGCAATCCCAACCGCTATCTGGAAGGCGGAACCGGCAGTGATGAAGCACTACTTGAGAAAGTGGCTGAAGGCTCCTGGGATGGAAGGCGACGCATTTGACATTCGGAATGTCTTGGACTGGGATTACTACCTGGATCGGTTGGGGAAAACAATTCAGAAGATTATTACTATTCCAGCAGCCTTGCAAAAGATTGAAAATCCAGTTCCTCGTGTCCCCCATCCAGCGTGGCTGGAAAAGAAAGTCAGCCAGCTGAACGATCGGTTCAAGCAAAAGACAATCACTTCCATGTTCAAGCCTCTTCCCAAAGCAGACAAGAAAGCGAGGCAATCAGTGGACATCGAAGACATTGGAGCCGAAGATAAAGGCGGATCCAAACGCCCTGTTGTCCACTCGAGAAGACGTGCCAACGCGGCCGCGAAGCGAGGCGACGCAGCGACGGAGAGAGATGGAGGTTCAGCATCCAAAGAAGGCACTTCGAAAACTCCTCGTGTGGATCTGTCCAAGGAGAAGTCCAAAGAGAATTTTGACCAGTGGTTGAAACAGAAAAAAGGTCTCTGGCGAAAAAAGCGAAAAGAACGAAAGTGGCACCGCAATGCAATCCACAGCAAAACGTCTATTGGGCCCGAGCCTGGTTCGAAGAGGCGCAAAACTGCCAGCATGGAAGGCTTCGTCCGAGATGCAGCAAGGACTCTTTCACAAAGTGAGTGGCAAGTCATTGAGGTTCATCCTATGACCAGTTACGACTCCCGATCAGGTTCAAGATCCTCTGGCGAGATGGTGATGTGGGTGATGGTCGGTACCGATTCGCTTCAGAAGATAAGATTGTCGATCCCTCGAACAGTATACGTATCTTCGCGCTACGTGTTGGAGTCCACCTCTTCTGACATCACGAACTTCAAGAAGGTCGAGAAGATTCTTCCTCACGGTAAAACGGCTCCACACGTCTATGAAGTTGTCATGCCAGAGTACATCTTCCAAGATCAAAAGTGGACTGAATGGTTGGTACCTGTTGACAAGAACGTGAACAAGGGAAACTGTTTGGATCAGATCTTTGAAACTGGCGTTCCCCTGCTGAACCGGGCCCTGAATGATATCGGTTGTGTATCAAAGGTGAATTCTGCGTCGAGATCAAAAAAGGGACAATCATACGTTCTCGAGGATTTGTCGAGGGTTGAAAAGCCTATCGATGGGGAGTATCTGCATCCTGCCTTGTCATACAAACGAGTCTTCCTGTACTTGCGATACAGCTCAAACATGGAGTTTGGGATCTTGGGAGTTTTGGTGATGAATGGGGGGAGTGGGACCTTTGGGCAAAATGCTGTTGAGGAAGGGACTACAGCCCCAGATGTTACGCGTCCAACCCAAACAGGCCCTTCAGGTTTTGACGTCAGTGCATCGTGTCATTATTGGATTATCAAACCAAAAGCCAAGAAGGGACCAAAGACTGTTTCGAAAAAGCACTGCAGGGAAATCTTCTCCGGTCTCCTGGAAACGATTCACGAGGCATCCTCGGCAGACAATGACTATGCCTGCGTGTCAAAGAGTAGCTCCTGTCAGACAGCGAGTCTCAATTTTGCGGATACAGACACTGAAGCTTATGAGGCTGCCAGTGAAGTCTTGAATGGGTATGCAAAGGGCAGCACCGGTCCAACGTTTCTTCTCGTCAATAGCAACAAGCCAGTGGTCCAGCTAAGACGGCACATTGCCGCGCTGGGCTCTTTTCCAGTAGTCCCCCTGGCGTTTCCGCCAGGGCCTGCTCATAATGCATCAATGTCTTCCTTGGCAGCAGTTGGGTGGGAGCAACCGGCAATCCACATTTGCCTCGAAGCATTCCTGTACGCCAACGTTGTCTCATGGCCCAACAGGGTTTCCTATGCCCGCTACGGTCAAATTCCAGTTGGCAACCTCGGGGAAGACGAGAACTTGACCCTGTATGACGTCTCGCTCTCTCGGTTTGCTCAGAGAAACAGGACTCTGTCGTGGGGGAGTCCTTGTCGAGGCAAGGCAGATGTTGGGCTCGATTTTCTGCCGACTGGAAACGGTGGCATGGTCGTAACAGCTTCTCCCAGTGGGATGAATGAAGATGAAATTTGGTGCGACGATGACGATCTCATATCCCCTGTGGTCCGAAGACAAGGCAAGTCTTGGTGTAGAGTTCAAAGGGAAGATGGTAAAGACGATCAACTGACACTGACTTTCTGATGCTTTTTTTCAAAGGTTGTTATCGGAATATTTGTGTGGACATTGACGTCCACGATGTTGCAATTGCGGCCCTGTCAGATGCTCAAGCTGTGCAGTCGTCTGTCGTTGGTGCTGCTGCGACCTCAAACGAGAGTGGGCTCCCATCACCCAACAGTGTTGCACAGTTTGAATCGGGAGGGCCAAAACAGTTCCAATCCTTTCCGTTGGGTGACGAAATGTCCACTTCTGTTTCTCTGGCAATCCTCCGATCGCTGGTTGGTACATGGCTCAGAGATGCCTTTGCTATGAACAGCGTCGTTGCCGATGAGGTTCTCCAATACGTCTATCGGTTTGTCTCTAACCCCGACGTACTCATGCATGATCCAGCCCTGCATCGGGTGGTTCATGCGCTTATGAAGTCTACCTTTTATCGCCTTTTGGGCGAGCTTCAGAGGTTGGGTTGCACCATTGTTCATGGCACGTTTCACAAGATCACGGTTGCAACCTCCAAAACCACGTATACACAGGCTGAGGAGTATATCAACTTTGTTATCAACACGATCCGAAATCGAAGCGCTGGTGGTGGCTCTGAGGCCGAAGCGCTTAGTCGTGTGGCCCTGAGACCCCGTCAGTTTCATTCTCATCTGCTCTTTCTCGATGAGTACAACTTTGGAACCATGCATCTCGATGTGCACGAAAAGTCGGAAGAGGGACTGCCTGAGTTTGTGATCGCCAATGAGGAGAGAACAGACACTGTGATTGTGCCTTCAGTTGTGACAGCCTGGAGCCTGATGAATTTTGGGTTGGGAAGCGAGTTGGCGCAAGAATACTTCCGAGTCATCATTGGCCGTTTTAGCAAAGAGATTCTTCGTAAACAGGTGGAACTGCGCCAGAAAGCCGAAGACGAGAGGCAAGCTCTTGCCGGGTACAAGAACATTGAGGATCGCCTTAAAACGTACAAGAAGAAAGTCATCACCAAACACTTTGCTTCTTCCTTGACAAGAGCAGTGGGAGAGATTCTCAAAGAGGAAAGCACAGAAGACCAGGTTGTTCCTCCTTTTGTTGGCGCAAAGGCGCAATCCAGGAATCCTGCACTGGAGTTCATCAAGAATGTGATTGTGGTTCTTGAGCTGGACCCGGATGTCGAGAATGAAGTGCAAATGCTCAAGAGAAGCCTGCTTGCTCAAGTTGGAGTTGCCGAGTACTCGCGGGCTGCACAGTGGGTCAACCCGTGTCCAACATTCATGTTGCCCGACTTGTTTTGCTCTGAGTGTCACGACAGCAGAGACGTCAACCTCTGCTACATTCCACCTACGGAAGATGACGAAGCAGAGCTTCCAAGGCAATGGGGATGTGAAGACTGTGGAACTCCCTACGATGTGGATGAGATAGAGGAGCGTCTTTTGGGTATTGTCAATAAGAGGCTGCTGCGATACCAGCTACAGGACCTGCGCCATCGGAAGACAAATCGAGTTGTAACTCGATGCCTTCCGCTGCTATCCGAATGTCAAACTACACTGAAGCTCGACATCTCCCCAGACGAGGCCAGGGAGGAACTTGACCTATTGAAGAACCTGGCGGATTTTCATAGGTTGGACAACCTCAAAAGCCGTACCGAGTTCTTGCTGAAACAATCCGGTGCATAGTTTTGTTTCTTCGGCTGTACTGGTGTCAAAGATTGCCAGTCTACCGAGCCAAAACTTCGAAAGCAGAGGCTTTTTGGTAACTTAACCCCGCAACGGGCACAATGCCGCAGCACAGACTAGGAACTACTAATATAGTTAGAATATGTTGCGTTTGCATGTTATCGATGAATAATTATTAGTCCATAGAGCATGCGCTTTAGGTTTTGTTTGTACAGGGTGTATGTCTAACCCAATGATATGTCGCCTATGCTCCTGTTGATTGCTGACAAAATGTCTATGTCTGTCTTAAACTTCCATACCAGTTCGCTTGGTAATGGACCAGCGAATGTAGTACTCCGCAGTTCCAAAGGGCCATAGCAAGATATTCCAGGGTGATGGCACCTTTCAAAAATCAATTTGGTTAGATTGACTTTGATTCAACTCCTCCCAATACTGGTGCAGAGGAAGGGAAGGAATGCATAGAATGTCATCTGCGAGGTTGGTTCACTCACCTTGAAACCAATTTTGAACTGAAAATAGAATCCCAATGCTGCAAAGACATAGGACAAGATCTCATCTACGGCGGTTTCATCTTCATGTTTGGCCGGGATGAGACCACCGAGATCAATGCCACGATAGTTGCAGAAATGAACAAAGGACCGGCCAATCATGACACCGCCAATGAGTGCGGATGTAAATGCGCTCTGGATGGACTGAATGTACCACGCTATGGAAATAGCGATACTTTTGGTGATCCACTGCATGCAAACCAAAACAAATGACAGAAAGAATCGAATCATAGTGTCAGTTAGCCCTCAATATACGAGGCAGTTGTTGCCGAAATTGCTGCCCAGATGATGTATGTACTTACACGAAGGACCACGGGAACCCACTTGTCATATTCATCTTGGGGCAAGAGAAAAAAACAAGTAAATGAGCAGCATGGAGCCATCATTTGTTTTCAACACAAAATTTCGTTCACTCACCAGGAATGGCAGCTTGCAAGACAGGGGTAACGACGTGGTCACAAGGACGAAACAAGAACTCAGCAATGGAAAGCGCCTGATGCATATATCATAGAAGCAAGGTCTCATAAGCTTTGTCACGCCTGTCCAATTACTCTCACAAGCAGAGCACAAAGGACACTTACGAAGTTGATGGTTTTCGCAAACTAGAAAGAAAAAGATGAGTAAGTGGTCTGCTGCCGTCATCTCTCTGTCTCAGCACGGCTCACATACCTTTAGGGTCAAGACTGCTGCCACTGCTAGCCAAACACGGTAGATGGAATAAATCGCCTTGTCGATCTGAAACGGAAAGACCGAGAAATGTGCAGATCAGATCAGAGATCATCCAGTCATTTGAAGATCAACCATTGGATTTCCACCGCCATTTGTCTCACCTTGTCAGGGTTCATTTTTCGGAGGACGAGAAGAGTCTTTCGTTGCAAGAACTCGGTTCCAGAAATTTCTGTGACATCCGATCTTCCATCTTTGTCATCATCCTTCTTGTCATCCTTTTTGGATTCTTCAATGATTATGGTGGCTTCTTCGGCCAAATCATTGAGGGCAGCCAACACTGTCTTGCGACCACCATTTTCAGCGGCTTGGACTGCCGCAAACAAGGTCGGGTAGACACCACCAAAGAAGCAGAAAATCACACCAATCAGAAACTCAATGAAATTTTGAGGGAGCTTACGATAGAGATCGAGAGCCTTGCGCCCTACCGTATTGGAGGAAAGAGAAGATGAGGATGAGGATCCATGGTCGCACGATGAATCTACAGAAAAAACAATACGATTGCTTGCCTTGTGTGATAGCCAGGGGAATAAACCATGTCAGGAAGGCCCCCAAAGGCTTAGCCAAGCTCTCAACGATGGGTTTGAGGCCACCAGTTTCACTATTGTCGGTCATTGTCGTCCAGTTTTGTCGTCAAATCGCAAATCTCAAAAAGAATGCATTCCTCAAGAAAAGAGAAAGATACAGCACTCGGAACCTCGATCGGAAGCTTCAAGCTCTCCACACATGACCTCAACACGCCTGCTTGTCGTGGAAAGTATTTTTTGTAACACAAGGTGAAGCCTGATTGCGATCCACGCAAAAATCCACTGCCTTGCGTTCATGCATGGTGCCCTCCCCTCCAGCTCTGTCCCCATCCTCATCTTAGCTCTCTCTAATCCATAGTAACTCCCCATTCATACATACTAAAATCCACTGCAGCCAAGCAGACGAGGTGCCATGAGGAGCCCACCTTAAACTGAGAAATACTAATAGCTAGCTAGTAGCCGGCAACGAAGTCAGAATCCAAGGACGGGCGAATTGATAGGTATCGGTAAGAGCTGGAGAGTGCTGTGCTCACTCGACGGATACAACACAGCACCAACAAGTGTCATCAAAGACTGCAAACACGTCCCTGTGATTTCACTGCCTTTATGTCGTGCGTGCCTTGACGACAACGAGCCCAACACAGGACGCCAATGCAATCAATGCAATTGTCAAAGCCTTTGAGAATCAGGTCCTGTGGATGAGGATATACTAGTATGACTTTCCCATGAGAATGAACAATGAATAATCCTGCTGCAAACATTTGGCTTGGTTCCATCGAGTTGAAAAGCTTTCCTATTGTAGACCTTATTATTTACGTCCTAGGCTGTATTTGCTTCTGGTGTGGTCGCTGTACCGCTGTACTTGCTTTTTCATTGTAATCGAAGAGCGGCGTAAATTTGATTTCTCGCATTGAGACGGGTGCGTCCATTGCACCGATTTTCTGGTCCAAGTTCGTTTGCGTACAGGTTCCATTTGTAGTGGGGAACATACTCCTCGCTCGGGGCTTGTTCGGTGGCCGTGGCGACATGCAAAGCTCTGGTGTTGGGAGCGTCCTCGAGGCCGTGGCCTGCGCTGGGGGAAATGACAGATGAAACTCTTTGAATGGCGAATCTGGAGCGCTAGCTTTGCTGCCTCCATTCGAGCCCGACTTTGACCAAGTCGACATCGAGGAGGAGGAGCTCTCTGATGCAAGCTCTGCGACAACTGCGTGAGACGACGATGCACACGTTGTTGTGGAGTAGTGGTCGAAACTATCTGGTGGATTGAATCGAGTACTGCTCATCCTCATTGCGCCGGCCTTTTGCTCACTGCGACTGGTTTCCTCTGATTGAGGTAGCAACACGTTTTCTTCGACTGGCGACTGCCTTGGTGGTTGCTTGGCTGTGATTGGCATGAGGGGAGGGGGAACATCCTGAACACTTGCAGCCTCAGATTTCTTTGGAGCTGCAGCCTCGGATTTCTTTGGAGCTGCAGCCTCGGATTTCTTTGGAGCTGCAGCTTCAGAATTTTTGGGAGCTGCAAGTTTCTCGGCCCCCAGCACAGCTCCCAGATCTCCATTTGCTTCAGTGTCTCCCTCCCTAATGTTGGGAAGAAGTGTTGATTGGGAGCTGTGAACTACCTGTTGCTCTGGCCTCGTAGTTTTCTGGTCTTGAGAAACAGGTGGAAGCGGAACCGCCTTGAGGCTGTTGGGTGCATGTTGCTCTACAAGCCTCGTAGTTTTCTGGTCTTGGGCAACGTGCTGAAGCGGAATCGATCTGGGGCTGTTGGGTACATGTTGCTCTGGCCTCGTAGTTTTCTGGTCTTGAGCAACATGCGGGGCCTTGGTCTCGCCACCTGATGAATGCGGAGAATCCCTTTTCTTCTCTTTGATATTCCTGAACGGGAACACAGTCCTGAGCTTCTCTCGCTCCATGCAACCACTCTCGTCCAACTCACAACCAGCATCTTTGGAAGCAGCCTTCGCAGTGATCTCTTCGCTTTCTTCAAACACTCGACTAAGGGTAAGACTCATAGACGAGTTCTGAGCGGATTTCGGTAACTTTGTCTCCGAAGAAGACCGCTGCGAAGGTTTGGTGTCCTTCCCGCCGGTGAACACTTGCTCAATACTCAACGACACATGCGCCGACCCTTGTTCGAGAGACCCGTGCGAAGACCCGCGATTAATGAACTGCTGCAAACTAATCTGGCGGCTAGCCCCTTCATTGAGCTTTCCTGCTTTGTCAACTTTTGTCAGGGCACCAGGCAAGTAACTTGGTCCTTCATCATCGGCCTTCCCTGCTCTAGTTTGGAGAAGGGCGCCTGGTAAATATGTGGGCTCGTCGTCGTCAAAGTCCAGGTTTCCAGCTCTGCCCCCTTGGAGAAGGGAACCTGGTAAGTAACCCAAGTTGGGTTCTTCGTCCTCTTCCGAAACGGGGTCCACCTTCTTCACCGCCTGGACAATTTCCTTAAGGATGATTTCAGAGTCCCTTCTCTTTGCAGATTCCTCCTTGGTCCGTTTCGCCACAATACTTTGGCGGCGATGGGCGGTTACCACAACTTCCGAAAGAAGCTGCTGCCTGAATTTCTTTGCAACCAGTCTGCGGGGTAGACCAAACGACATTGGACTCTTCTCGTCGTCCAAAGCAACCTGCAAAGTGGAAGTGGAGCAGAAACCTAGAGATTCCCAGTCCACTTCTTTCTTCCGATCCTGCCTTGCCATCCTGGGAAACGAGAAGTTGAATCCGGCTGGTATTATTCCATTCGCATAGTCTGGCTTCAATGCATCTAGATTCATAGATTGGTGACCGTCAGCCGTTGCGGCGTTCAGGTCGTCGATGCGAAAAGAAGCGTCGACAGGTTGTGCCTCAGAAGCCGACTTGGCGTCGTTGCTGTTCCCTTGCTGAAGATCTTCAAGTCTCACCGAGGGTTGTTTGCGCAATTGTCCTGTTTCAGCGTCGTTGATGGTCTCCTCGTGCAGATCTTGCAGCTTTACCGAGGTTTGTTTGTGCAGCTCTCCGATTTCGGCGACAACGGAAGGACGAGCATCCTCTCCAGCACTCGAGTCTGACCTGCTGTGAGCGGAGGCAGCGCCATCACTGCTGACCGAAGAGTGTTTAGTGCTACTCCCAATGGAGTCCGGGTTAATGGCTTCAGCCGTACGCGTTGTAGCTATCTGCATTGCCTGAGCCGGGCATGACCCGGACCTGCCGGTGCACCTTACCCTCAAGGCTTTGTCTCCCAGCGCAGCCGGACTGGAAGCATTCATCTCAGGCATACTGATTCCAGCATTTTCCTCCGAGTCATGGCCAACAGCGTCCGAACTGGACATATCCATGTCAGCAGTGCTACCTCCCAGAGTTGGCGAGACCCGATACTCCGGAGCTGAGGAACGGCATCTCTTTGGCGACATACTTCTCGTCTTGTGCAGCCGATTCCTTGAACGAGTTCTTGTGAAATCGCTGGCTGTGCCATTGTCGTGCACGAATTGCTTCATGGCTCGAAGAGATGAGTCGATTCTCTTAATCTGGCGGTTGCCGCGTCTTACAGTCGGTGAAAGTTCGCTCTTGGTGCGGGATGGGGACCTGCGAGGACTGAGACTAACTACTTTCTTTTCTTGAAGAGTCGCCAGTGCTCTGCTCTTGTGACGTGACCTTGTACCATGTATCGTGTCAACTGTTTGCGCCCGTCTTAGCGCCGGGCCTGGACTCAGTGAACGTTTCATTGTCGGGTCACTGGTTTTCTTACCGTCGTCACTGGCACCAAACCGTGTCCCTGAGCGGTTCTGGACAGCAGTATTCGCCCGCATTAATGGCGGTGGACTCTTCGAACGGCTTCTTGTTGGAGACGGGTCACTGACTCTCTTTCCAACCACTTGCCTCATGGCCACCAGAGAGGAGAACGAAGCGTCCATCGAGCTATCGACACTCTTTGTGCGACGAGGCATCCTCTTTGTTCGCGCCTTAAACAATTCGTCACCATTCGTGGCAACTATTGCTGTGCGTCTACCTCGACGCAACGGTGAACATGGCGATTCACTCCTGGGTCTTGCTGGAGAAGTGCTCCTAGTCCTTGATGGCTTGTCCCTCAATCGACGTGGGACTCGTGCATCACAATCATGGCTGCCAATGGTAGTCTCACTTCGCTGAAAGTCGCAGTACTGCTGCATCGCCCTTTTGGTGTTATCGATTCTTCTCGTGGCTCCCAATTTTGATTTTCCCGACATGTCACTCATCATTGTTTTGCTGCCCTCACTACCCCAAGATGAAAACACGGACGAGTCAGAGCGGCGACGCCTTGAGTCGTCGCTCTTTGAACGGCTCGAAGAGAGATAGGACCAACGACGAAGACGAGGAAATTCGACACTGTCGCTGCTCCTTGTTCGAGGAGGCATTCGTTTTGCACCCCCATCGCTGCTCCTTGTTCGCAAAGGCATTCTTCTTACGCTGTCGCTACTCCTGGTCCGAGACGGCATTCGCCTTTGTCCGTGGTGATGAGACCCGCTCCTAGTTCGACGGGGTGCGCTATGGAATCTTCTCACTTTTCCATCCTGGGCGCACGAAGACATCTCTTTCACCCCCGAAGAATCGCTGTTGGAACGCAAAGGTGCACTGCGTCGTCGAGAAAACTCCTTGTTCTGACGGCTCGATTGACCCATGGTATCCATGGTTGCTCTTCGAACCAGAACATCTCCGTCACTTTTGCTCATTCTTTTCGATTCACTTTCTTCCCACTTTGAGCTGTCATCCTCTAACTTTTTCATGGAGTCAAGCTTGGCTAGCTCTTCCAGCTCATCACTCATCTGAATGTTTCTAACGGAAAGCACTCTCTTGGGTGTTGACGGCGACATGTCTCTCATCTTTCTTGATGTTGCCATTGGAGAGCTTGTGAATCGCATATCACTGGCAGACACATCCATCTCATCTTTGTCGCTGTGGGCAACTGATGGATTATTTGTGGTTGTTGGTGGCATCAACACGGAGCTTTCGGGGATTGTTGCCACCAGTTCGCTACGAATGCTGTCTCGCATCATTGATTTTCTCTTCATGGGTGGCGAGTCCTTTGTAACGATTACCATATGACTCCTACCACCCATCATGTCATCCGGCATTGGAGAAGCTTGGACAAAATCACTCTTTCTTCTGGGCAATGTCTCCTGAGGCATCTCCATGGCCACTTGTGCGTGTACGAGGCTCTTGGCTCTCTTGGTAGGCAGAGGCGGTCGTTCATCACTAGATACTACCGGTAGTTGTGTGGAAGTCGGTTGTGTGGTTGTTGGTTCTTCTTCTTCCTCTGGAACCTCCGTGGGTTCCTCTTCCTCTGGCACCTCCATGGGAATGTCCTCTGCAATCTGAGCCGCTGAGAGAGTGGATCCCCATCCCCAGTTGACATCTTGGCTGCTGTTGAATTTGCTGCGTCGCGCACCCGCCACGTTGGATGTAGGAATGGTGGAATCCGAGACATCCATGTTGTTGATTCTTTTGCCCCCCGAAGCTCGCTGGGTGACATCCGACGCATGAAAGGAACTCCCAGTCGCTGAAGCGTGCATGAATGCCGGATCTGTGACCTGAAGCGACGACGCCGACATGCCATACAGTACCACTGCCGAATCCGATGCACCCAAATCGCTGTTGTTGCTATTGTTGTTGTTGTTGCCATGAAGCGAAAAAGACGATTTGCGTGGTTTGCCACTGACCACGGTCGTGTTGGAAATGTCCATACTGTTGTTGTTGTTGTTGGTTGTGGCACTACTCCTTCTTCTTCTTCGCAGGTCCTCAATGGCAAAGGATACTTCGGAAGCGTCCACCATGGGACAACCTGCAGTGGCCGCATCCGAGTGACCCGAGAGTACCATACTAATATTGGTCGTGGATCCCGCGACTGCCTCCCCCGAGTGACCCGAGAGGATAAGATTGGACCCGTCAATGGCCTCATCGGAGTGACCCGAGAGGACCAGATCGGTGGTCAAGTAGTGTCGTTTGTTGTTATTGTTGTCGACTGCTTCTGCGGGCTTGGTTGATTCCTTTTTGAAGGAACCCGCCACAGCTCTGTCGGACACGTCCAGTGCTATGCGCGAAGACCCCGCCACTGCGGCATTGGAATCCAAAGTGGTGACAGCGGTCAAGTCAAATCCATCCGGTCGGCGAATGTTGTTGTGATTGTCTGCCGCAGCAAAAGCGCTTTCACTGGCCGAGTGCCCAGCGATGGGTTGCTTCCTCCAATTATTATTAATATTTGACGAGGAGTGCGTTCCTTGGCTACTGTCCGAAGCAGTCTTTGGCTCCTGAGGTTGTGGCATGGCGATGGCTGGCTCGTTCCGTGGCTGATTTTGATGTTGTGGTTGTTGTCGCTGCTGCTGGTTGTTGGGTTCTCTATTCTTTTTTGGAGAAGTCTTTTTGCCTTTCTTTTTGCTTTCCGCCTTTTTCTTTCTCCTGAGTTCCTTTTCCTTTTGCTTTTGTAGTTGCTGTTGTTCCTTTTGTGCCTGCGCGGCTTTCTTGGCATTCTGGTATACATCCGTGGATATATCATGCGGACTTCTCTCGGCCCGTGAGAGCTGTTTGAGGTCTTCATAGGCATCTGCCATTGGATAATGGGGTACAAAGAAGAACTCGTCTTGTGGCTGACCATTGACATTGGTGACGCGGTCCTTCTCGCTGCTCACGGACTCGAGCGTGAGACGCAACTTTTGGATCTCCCTGGGCGTCAGTGTCAGTGGCACTTGGTACTTGTGCAGACTGCGGCCTCGTCCTGTTGCGGTTTCGGCAAAGACCTTGCGAACCACTTTAGGATGGAAATGGTGCAGTGCCACAAACTCCTCGTCCGAGTCATCACTATGATTACTGCTTGTACTAGTAGTAGTAGTTCGCAACAAGAGTCTGGGCTGCAGATGGCGCAAGTAGGCTCGTCGCAACAAGTACTGTCGATGCAGGTACTCGTACTCGGGGGGACTCGAACAGGCAGGCGGTACGTCGACAAACCCTCCGCGAGGATCGTGCAGCATTTGAAAGGCCAAACTCATACCTTGACATTGCCGCGCATCGTCACAAATGCAACGGCGGCTTCGGATCCGCTTACTAGTGCTGGAGGTGGTCATTGTCAAGTCAGGAGCTGCCAAAGGTATCAAAGTAGCAAGGGTAGTACTATGATAATAGCTTGAGGAGATGAGTACTACTTTATACCCAAGCGACTGCTGCTACACCTGACCAAAGTTCTCGGTGGGTATCTTGTGTTCTTCTGGTGATGATGAGCCAGTCAACACTCACACCACAACGTCGTCGAAAATAGTGACAAGAGTCTTGCCTTTGCTTTGCTGCTTGCACAGGTCGTAAAAGCATGCATCCGAGATGGTTTTTTGTGCTGCACGGCTGTCTTTCTCGGTGGGTCTGTTCACTTCAAAGAGCAGCTTTGTTGTTTCAGGAAAGATTTAAGCCACTGTTTTCGCAGTATTCGCTCCTGCTTAACCCTAATTTCAAAACACACATTGATACATGGAAAGAACATCCTGGACAATCTTGAGGCCTTTTTACTCTGGAGTAGTTAGAAGAAGAATAAAAGATTTACAAGAAGAATTCAGGGCTTAACCAAGACTACTCTAAGTCATCTACTGGCTCAATTGAAGATGGCTGTGAGTGGGCAAGACGAGGTTTAACAGTCACATGAAGGTGTCATTCAGTGGTGCGTCGTGGAAACTTGAAGCCTGCGGTACTGGTAGTACCCGTACCGACAGGGGGTAGAGAGCACTACATACAGCCTGTGCATATGAACAGGGAGGATGCCCGCAGATTGAGAGCAAGGCCAGCCATTTTTTTGGCATGAATTCAAAAACGTCCAATTCCTGTGCAATCGAACAGGATAGCGACGCCTGTTCAATTGCACAGGAAATGGACGGCCTGTGCAATCGAACAGGATAGGGACGCCTGTTCAATTGCACAGGAAATGGATGGCCTGCCTGTTCATATGTACAGGAGGCTGTACATACAGGAGCTCGACGTCCTGTTGAAATGCACAGGAATGGTGACGTTTTTTTCTGGGTAGGCTTTCTCATTACTCAACAGTAACAAATAGATCTGCCATTACGTTCAGCATTACAGTCAAGCATGTCCTCTGCGTTCAGTCAAGCTGATGATCAACTCTCCTCTGGAGCGTTCCTCAATCGTGTATGACGTTAAATCTGACCCTAATTTAGGGTCGGTTTGGGGAATCCGTCCCAAAATATAAGGACTTTTTTCAAACCCGACCCTAAATCGAAACTCGACCCTAAATTAGGGACGGTTTTTCAGAAACCATCCCTATTTTAGGGTCGGTTTCGAAACCCGACCCTAAAGGAAATCCGATCCTAAATCCGACCCTATTTTATTCAAGTAGCTGGCTCTCTCAAAGACAATGGAGATAGAAAGGAAATCAATCTTATTCCAACACTCGGTCACAATAGTCGCAACCGATCGGAGCCCAACAC